ACTATTCAATCCAGTATAGTCTTATGTCTACACATAAGCCCCTACCACCCCTCTTGTCATCCACTGAGTGGCAGTAGCTGCTGCATAGACTCAAAGTAATCACATAGACAAGGTATCATGAGGCTCTATGGCATTAGCAAATGCCATTCAGGAAATGTTACAAGCCCTTAAAATAAAGATGCACAGGATAACATCCTGAAGATTAAGTCTAGCACAGAAAGAGTTCTCACAGAAATTTCAAACTAACAGTGGAATAGCACTCCATTCCTTGCAAATACCTACTTCAAAACTCCTGCCATTAGTATTCTGCTTGCATAAAATGAGAGGTGGCATATGCTTACCTGGCCATATGAACTTGTAGACAAACGAAGAAGGTCCCTGATCAAGTTTTGATGTACTTTTTTATATTCACAGCCTTCAACAGTGAGAGTTCTTAGCTAAAGAGAAATGGGCAAATTAGATTTTTTTTTCATTGTGCATCTATTCACTTTATAAATGCAAGTTGTAGATACTACAGATTCACATGCAGTGGTAGAAAAACATTACCTCATGCTGTAACATGACTCTGTCAATGAGCAGTGCTCTAATATGCTGTTTCTTGCCTTGAAGCTGAAAATAGGCAAATCAGTTAAAAATCAGAATGAATGTGGAAATAAATTTATACATATTGAAAAACTACCCAATTCCTGCCTTATATTTCTGTTTTTCCTCATGAGTATCTACTATTGGTTAATAATGAAGAAAACCAATTGTGGAACTTAAGTTTTCTTTATTCATAAAACAAAACTGACAAACTGCTTCTGAGTTTGAGGATAATTATTATAGATCTGAAATAAGTCAAATACTCACATATTTGCATGCAGTACACTTGCTATCCTTTTCACAGATTAATCAACTTTAAATGGATTATGGCCCAATGCTTCACCCCTTTCAGTAATGTAATGCTTAAGGATGTGGGGCATTTATCAAAAGGAAATTCTAATTGAGACATGTTGAAAAATGGGAAACAACATGCAAAATAGTACTGATGTTGACTCATTTTGATTTTACTAAGAGGCTTATTGGAAATCTGTCCCAAATGGCAGATCTCCAAGTTGCAACATTCCTCTCAAAGATAGTTCCTTGAAAAGAGCTGGGGGCACCGTTACCTAGTTCTTTATGCCTCCCCCACTCCTTCTCACACCCTCAAATGTCTTGTAAGCAAATAGGAATGTGATTCATCTCTTTTAAACTGAGTACTGTTCTTCTAAAAAAGTATGAATAAGAACCTTCCATTAAAATTAAAACACTCCTTTTCAAAAACAGTGGAAAGTTTGATTTTGACTAAATGCCAATCATTTTTTTTACTTTTAGTGCTACTTGTGATTCCTTTTTTCAGCTATGAAAATTACCTCCCTCTAGATTCCTCAAAGTCTTTACTTATGTAGATAAATTGCTTATATTAAATACTAACCCTATTCTCCATTGATTTCTTCACCAAGTTAAAGCTTTTCCACCGTGAATCAAACTCATGCTTGTGTGAACCTTGGAAATGTAAGAGGTCCCCAATGATCTGTAGAACAAGAAGTTGAGTTATATAGAAAAAGCCATCCATCCAACTTAATGTGTTAGAAAACACATTAGAAATGGCAACTATACCTTAATGATTAGGAACAAAGACTTAGTATCATCCTCCGAGTTGTCAAGTACAAAATCTATCACAATAAAGAGAAAATTCAATTAAATAAAGCAATATAAAGTAATTGTTCGTAGTTATAGGACCCTTGCCATATTGATGGCAAGCTGCCAAGGAACAGCAATACACTTTCCTACCATTTTTTTAATAGAAAAAAAGAACATTCTTCAGTTTTCACCCATCAAATAAAATTTTCCAATCCCCCACTCCAAAAATGAAAGAGACACCAGAAAGCTCCATCCATTGCTCCACATTAACCTTGCCAACTGTGACCTGAGATCCATTAAAAAAACAAACTCATGCAACCTCAAGACATCAAAATCAAACACCGTTCATTTATTTAAACTGAAGAAGAGAGGAGTAGTTTGTTTTCTGTCTGATTTGCCATCTGGATTTTAAGTGCAAATTATAAACCTTTTGAACTACTGTACAAATGCAGTGAAAATAAGAGCAAACAGAATGACTAAAAACACACTTACGTAGGAGTTTTCTTGTGACTTTGCAGATTCTTTCCCTGTAATTCTCTCTTGACAAATCTAAGCAAGGTAAGACCATTCATTATCTATAATGTTTATATTCTAAATTACTATGTGTTGCAAGGACAGGTACAGAAACATCAAAATAAAAACAAAGGAAAAAGTTTATCTCCAGCAAAGCTATGTGAGTATGTGAAAAGATCTGTATGTACAATACACACATATAATTGCATACTTAAGATATGCATGCTCCCATAAGGCTTGTATATAACCAAAAACTTCATTTCAGGTTAGATAGGTCAAAATAAGCTTCTAAGCTTTTCCCAGTTCTAGACTGTAAAACATACAAAATATCTAATAATACTTAATTGTTTAATATACACACCCACACACACACACACAGAGTCATACTTGCCATCTTTTATCTTTATCTTTTATTGATTTTATTGTAATTTCTTTGATTGTTGTAAGCTGCCCAGAATTGTTGAGAGTCTGGCAGCATACAATATTAAATTCAACAAAGTTATTAAATAATAATAATAATAATAATAATAATAATAATATTTTCCTTAAGATTCACAGAAAAAATAAATAAGTTAATTACTTTCTTTCAATAAGAGATCAGTAATATCGTGCACTAAGTAACAGCAAATTTCTTCTACCATTTATGCGATAGTGTTAACTTACCATATTCAACACCAGTATAAAGTTTGATCTCTTCTAATGACACTAGACTTGGAACCCTGTACAGTATATAATACATACATATTCTTTAAACAAGAGCTCTTGATGCTGTGAATTTAATTTCATAAAACAGTAATTACTGTTACAATTTCTAAGACTAAGAGTTATGATTTTCTATCATTTAAATTGGTTTTGAAGGAAAATGAAGACAAAAGTCAAATAATAGGGAAGTTGTATAATTCTTGATTACTATTGTACTAAATATTACATCTGTGTAGATGCTAGCACCTAGTGATGTTGTCTGGCCTTGAAAACTAAATAGGGCTGGACTTGATTAGTACTTGGATGGGAGACAATCAAGCAATATCAAGGCCATAGGATAGGATTGGAAAGTGTTTTCTATGTTTTCATTATGTACAATTTCAGATGAATAATTCTCAGCACATATTTTAAGAATCCTGAGTGAGGCACACAACAGTCTCTGAAGTTTTTATCTAAATGATTCTATTTATCATCTACATAAAGCAAAGTTTACTTACATGTGAGGCACTTTGTTTCCTTTCAGAGGTGGCAGCATGTTTCCCGATCCAATAAGGCAATTGTGTACTATAGTAAGACCCTGTTGAACATCATCTCTGAAAGTAAATGTTAAATATGTTTAGGTGAAGTTTCTCTATTTTTCACTTCTCTATTTAAAAAGTGCTCAAAGAGCTTTGAGATCTGACCTCCACAACAAGATTAGGTAATGCTATAAAACCATCATGCTTATTTTTCTGATCACCCCTGAGGGCTCAGGCAAGCCACTACTTCAAAAGCCAAACCATTACATGGCCACATAAT